CAAAGAAGAACAGTTAGTCGACTACTCAGGTTGTTTATATTCTAGTTAAAGTTAAGTTCAGTTAAATAGCAACGTCAGAACCTACCTCGGGATCAGCCTACCCAATGCAACACCGAAAATAAAAACTGAGATGTACACTGTGGCCATTTGATAACTTTTAAAGCGAAAAGAAAAAGTCGAACGTTCGGAAAAGGGAGTTTATGATTTTAGTTGTTGAGCAACTGTTTGTTTCCAGCCGCAAATAATTTCCCAGCAGGTGGTCAGTTTGATAGTCACTTGCAAATAATCTGACTTTGGAAATGAGCCTGTGTTAGAGTCGTGTCATTGGTTATGGATTAACGATATCATTCTAATTGACTAGAACTATTATTTTCGCTGTAATGCACCGTCGCGAGTTGGATATAACCGCCGGCGTTCACTGGGAAGAATCAAACTTAACAAATGACGGCAGGTCTTAAGAACCAAAATTACGTTTGAAAAAATAATGAAATAAAAATATGTAAACGTCGAGCGTTCAGTGCAGCAAGAAAAGGTGAATAGAGTACGGTTCACCAAGTTATTTTTATGGTAATTAAATATATAGCTTCGAGAATTTTTGCGTATGTGCACGTTATTATGTAGCTATAGCAGAGAATTTAACCACAGTCGAAACTAACCTTACGGACGTACAGTATCCTATGACCGGACATAATTCTTGCAAGTTTTCTTAAGGAAAAGGCTCTTTTTTCGAGCTATAAGTTGGCTTAGAAAAAATTCTCACCCAGTCTTCATCACCTGAAGCCGCCGCCGGTCCCCTTTAATAATCTATTGGAAGCTGAATTTAACGTTTTAAAGCTGGTTTTCATTCATCAAACGTTTTACAAAATCAAGACTGTAAACCGTTCCTTCTGAACTAGAAATCCTGTAGAAATCTGATAGTAAACTTTACTGAAAGGTAAATGTTTGGTTTCTTAAGCAGTTAAGGCCTGTTTCAAACGTCGTGCTACTGCCGTGCTAACAGTGGCTCGACTGTAGCTCGACTACAGCACGACACTGGCGCTACTTGGTTTCAGACGTCTAATTTAATCCAGTCGAATAGAAGGGCTGTTGCCGAGAACAAAACACAAAAATAAAGATACGATTTAGCAACTGCCGTGCTAAAGGCGAATTTAATTCGATCATTTGAGTTCGGCACGGCAGTAGCACGACGTTTGAAACGGGCCTAAGATAACTTAATTTATATTTTCCCTGCCTTAAACTAAATTCCGCAGTCTTCACAAACTGCGTAGTGTGTGCATGGTTGCGCTTATTTTAAACTACAAATTACAAACGTTAAAAAAAGTAACACCCAAATTTAATATTTCAAAAAGGCTTTTCAGCAGTTACGAGATTGTCAGTAGAATAAAAGGCAACTCTTTTACGTAATTTCTTTTTGACAAGGATGAATAATATAACGTGTTAACAGACGCAATCCAAACACCATCATCTAAGGAGCTGTTTTCATGGAGGTGGAGGGCCCCAGGTAGGTGCAGTAACCCGCTTAGGTGGGGGTAATCCTGGGGTAACCCGTCTGTCCATATCATCTTTCATTTTATTTTGATCACGTTTACATGATAGGTGGGGTGACCCGCCAAATGTTACCTCACCTATCTGGGGTCCCCCACCTCCATGTAAACAGGAACTAAAGCACGTGATTTCATTCGCGCGGCATTTTGGCCGGGCCACAGTTCAGGAAAGAAAAAAAAAGCCACATGGCATAATGCAAATCAAATGACTGAGAATCAAAACATGAATGACAACACTAGAACAACACAACCCCCTAAGGTTTCTCTGATGTTTTCCAAGACGATAAAACATCAGCATCTGAAGTTTTCTGTTGCTGTTCGTTTATCCCTCGAGCGCATTTTGATACAAGTTCAGTGATAGTCAGTTTCTATGGCTACGAGATATGACGTCATAAGAAGGAGGTAGTCAAGCCATTTTGAGTGAAAGGACATGTTTTTTCAACTTTTTTAAACAATAACAGTAAATCGTGTGGATAAATGATGCAAAATAATTATTTATGTGTTATTTTACATGTTAAGGGCAAAAAAATATTCATTCTCACTGTTTTTTACCTGATTTCTAATTCTTGATAAAATGTAAGATGGCGGCCAAGATGGCGACCATTGTTGGTAATGTCACAGGTCCCCAGCAGCGAAACCACCCATAAAATATACCTTAGCTTGTAGAGAATATCAAATTAAAGGCTTTCCACTGAAGGGAAAATCGTTTCAAAATACTGCAGCATATAAAAAACTGTAGGGAGGTGGGGGTCCATCCAACCCCCCTCCCCCTTGTACCACGGTGAGGGTATGAATTTGCATGTACGCCCGAGGGTTAAAATACGTGATGTCATGGTTAAGGTTTGGGAGGGGACCCGAAATCGGCTGAAGCGTAGTCTTCGGACACAACACCTTTTAAATCAGAGCCATTAACTTAGGCCCCATTTATATGGAGAAAACTTGTACCGGTAGAAGGGTCACTCGCTTACCCGAGTTACCGTGGGGGACCCAACGTGTCAAAAATTTCTTTACAACACTCGGCGAGCCGTTTACCCGAGAAAAAAAATAAAAAATAAGTTGGCTCGGATAGAAGGGGGACTGCGCTTAGCTGGGTCATCTTTTTTCGATGGTAAGGTCACTTTACGAGCCGGGCCAACATTTCTCCATATAAACACGCCGAAAATTAGAGCATACGCGAGCGCTGTTGGCAGCTCTTGGCTTGGGCAAAGAGACTAATTTTTTTTCTCATATACTCGTTGGGAGGCTGACACTTTTTCTCGCGACAACTTTTTTTTTTCATTTAGACGGGGCCTCAATGTCACGGTAAACACGCAGGAAAGCCAAACTTGCGATGGCAGACGGGGTAGAACGCCCCAATATTATATTATCAGATCATATCACAACAACAACAACAACAATACCATTATTTTATTTCCCTTATTGAGTTTTACAAGATTGCGCACTAGCCCATAGTTAGCTGGAGATAATCTTGGCGGGCCAGTCAATTTGTGCGGGAAATATTTAATTTTACGTGATCAAAATGAGGAAAGATTATACCGGGAGAAAAAAAAATATAGTGCATAAAAGATTTACAGAATATAAGCTTTTCGGAAAAAAGCTCAGTTCATTCTCTCTTTACTGGGGATTTTACCTTAGAAATGATCTGGTGTACATTAATTTATCAATTAATGAATGAGGCTGAGTAGCGTATGAAGAATTATGGAGATCGAAGGGGGGGTTATCAGTTGAGGCCGTAGGCCAAGGCGGATAACACCCTCCGAGATCTCCATAATTCTTCATATGATACGAAAGCCGAATTCCATAATTGTTTTATTATTCATTCAAAATAATTCCTGGTTTGAAAACAAAGCTAAAACATGCTTACCTCCATCGATGTTAAGTTAACCTTCGATAGTGCACGTTTAGGGTTTTTCAGCTCCGCAAATGTTCTCCAAATAGCAGATGTCTCCCTTCGAGTTGTGTTCTTGCTGTTCTTGCCATGTTTTTAGCTATAATTTCGCCTAGTTCTTACTCTTGACACGAGTGAAATGTCCGCCATTTTTTGTTTTCACAACCAAAACAACTCAACCTCGTCCCAAGGTCTTCTCGGTTGACCTTAAGAGGCAAGAACGCTGCATTTTTAACGTCATTTCCTCGTAAACACAAAATTCTTCCAAATTTGGTCATCAGTAACTGGTTATGGTGAATTACGCGTCTGCTTTTAGCCAATCAGAATCGGGGAAATATTTTGAATGAATAATAATAATATATCTCAAACATTACTCAAAAAAACAAAAAACAAAAACTAGTCATCTTGCTATTGCTTGTCTAGATACCTGCTAGGAAAAGCGAGCCTCTACAATAGGAATCTACCGCTACACAAACCTTAAAAATATTGTAAAAACTGAATTCTAATCTTCTTTCTCAAAAGAGCGTTAAGCAAATTTAAAGGAGATATTTCTCGCCGTATCCTGCAGGCTTAGAGTCTTCACGACGGAGTTTTACTATAAACTACTTAATAATTTTAACGAACGCTGTATTCGTCGAGCTATCCTTCGTCTCTGTAGTTATCTCATACGGAACGTCTAAAACTGCTTACTTTAATTTTGTTATCACTTGGGAAAACATGAAGATTTTTTCCATCGTTTTATTGTTACTTCGAAAGTTCTGTCTCTTTCCAACCCGCAAAGTAAAATCTACTTTAGTTGCCCGGGGAAAAACAACCACATGAAACACGCAGGCATACTGTAGTTTTTTCAGGATGCAAAATGCAATTTTCGGAATCTTCTAGGAAATTTTAAGCTCTTACTGATTTGGAGTTCTTTTTGGAATGGTATGACTATGTTTGAGCCACGCCTAGATTGTTTCATTTGGGGCTTTAATTCCAATTTTGGCATTCATATTCCTTTCACACTGGGGTCCCTTCGAGTAGACGGTGTGCAGTCAAATCTTGAGATTCATTCCGGTTCTTTTAACCTGAAAATGTTTCGATTGCAGTGCTATATATTGACGACCTTTGGAGCTTGAAAAGCATTAGATCACCCTAACACATGTTGATACCAGGACTAAACAATAACTTTTGTGCGTAATAACTTTTATACTTTCTTAGAAACTGATTTTTTTTAGGCCTAAATGCTACTCTTTTACTGTTATGGAAGAATAAAGGGGCAGTAGCAAGAGAATTCTCCCAAGTTAACGTTCTTATGAAAGGCAGTTAGAAGAAATATACGGAGGGTTCCCTGCTAATAACGACGCTGATTATGATTCACGATGCTGATGATAAGCATAATCGTCCTTTTAAAAACCTAATATTATAATCTCCTAACCTCTCTGGATCTTTCTATATTATCAACTCTGAATCATTTGATAATTATAAAGTCGTACTTATTGTTAAAAAGGCTTGCATCGTAGAGCTCCAAGTTAACCGTTTGAAGTGAGCTTCTCCATAATTTTGTGCAGAGCTGACAATGGACGATTTCAAGCTTCGCTAGTGGTAAAAATAGACCAAACAGCCAATTAATGAAACTTATATAAACGAGCCTCTATCCTTTTACGCTGAAAAAAAAATATCGATAGTATAGAGCGGGCTTTTAGAAATGGTGGCAGTAATGTCAGAACCTTTTTCGGCTTCCAATCGTAAGAGTGTGTGTCTATTTGTTTGGCTTTTTTTGTACTTTGAAATACAATCAGAAGGTTTGAATCAAGGAAGCCAAAGGGAGAAGGACGAAAGGTCTATTGCTAGCCAGATAGTAGGAAAAAAAAAAAAACAAAACAAAACAAAATCTTCAAATCCTCTTTTCTACCGGTTTTCGGCCAATACTTAGCACGAAAATGGCTAAAAGTAAGACCTGCAAAACTGTGGGCTTATTGGATAAATTTGCGATTCTACCAGTATTTCGATCTTTCTTTCTCGCTCTCTCTTTTTCAACTTCGTTTGGCCTCCATGTTCCAATTTGGTTTTGTTTCCCGCTTTATCGCCTTTCTTTCCCTTGGAATTGTGGCTGACTGACTAAAAGATGTAACACTTATTTTTGTGTGTAAGGCTATCAGGATTGGTCCAAAATGTGGTACCTACGAAAAGATCTGATCTATCCTTGCTGAATTCGCTGCTTACCAATTACGTGTTTAAAAAGTGAACGCTAAATGGGTTCAGAAAGAAAAATATGGAAAAATATAAGGAACGAAAACGACCAAACCCGTCGACAAAGTTGGAGTTTGGACGTAACATAAATCATTCTTTCCGTTCGCAAACCTCTTTCATGATGAATTTGATGAATTTTGGAATTTATACTGAAAAAGGCCAACTTAAAACAAAGTGGTTGCTTTCTTTAAAATAGAATAATACTAAGAAATCTAATGTTAAGTGATTTTTTTTATCGAAGTTTAACTATTTATACAAATTCTTACTTTTGAGCAATCTTGACAGAAGCTCCACACGCCATCACGTTGTAACAATCGGTGGGCGTAAGTTCGTCGTATGGATCGAATTCCACCGAAGCAGCCTTGCCAGAGCCTCTTCTGATTGGTCTAATTGTTGTCAATCCAGTTATATCGCTTTGTATTATGTCCTCAAATCGAATGAATCGCAAACCTGGAGGGTAACCAGAGAATATGTGCCCTGCAATACTCCACATCCATTCTTCAGACGTCAGCGGCGGTTTTGACTGTGGCTCCGACGAAAGAGGGAGCTGTCCGGTGTAATAAAAGTTTCTTCCAGGAAGATTCCTCTCCTCGGCATCAAGCAAGGACACCTTCATTTGAAATGTGCCAGTGCGGCGCTTTTTAATGGCATACCTAAAAATTCAGTTAATCAAAGTGTTTTAAAATCATTGCAATTGTGCCACTTGGTTTTTGAAGTCTCTTTTTTTCAGTCTACTCCTTCAAAGTTGCTTCCAGAACATTTCATTTTTTTAATTGTTTTGAAAAAGCGGAAACAGGAGCCGATTTACAGAAACTCGCCAAGGTCGTCAAAGTCTAACGAAATTTTGTACTAGTCATGACAAACATCAATCCAAATGAAATATCAGCAGCTAATTAAGTGAGTAGAAAAAAAACTTGGAAGGGCTCCTTTTAAGGCGATTGAAAATGTCAATGTTGACAATGTTGTCTAAATAAGAAGGCAGTGTTTTTAATAACATGCTGCATTTTCTATCCAAAATTCCCTTTTCATGATAGCCTGGCAATACAGCCGCGCTCTGGTCCGGGACGTTTTGCAACAGCGAAGCAGAATTTCCTTAGGAAAGTAGGGCGATATGAGACGGCAGTTAGTTCATAAGTTATACTGGGTCATGAAGGGGTGCGCCTTATGGAAAGACCTTATATTCCCAAGGTGAAGTCAAGGTAGCTGACTTGCCTTTCAGAAACAAGGATATCTGGTTTCACTTCATCAAGATACTCCGCTGTAAAACCCTTGAACAGGAGATTGATCGTCTGTACTCTCCAACAGAGGGAATTCGATGCCTGAATGAACCAGCTAGTCATACCGCCTTCATTGACAGGGGGGAACAAACCTGAAACAATCAATAAGTGTCCATGTGGGTAGTGAATCAAATGTCCCTTACGATCAAAACGATCTATAGTAACAAATATTAGGAATGACGAAAACATTTTCCTTTTTACAAAAACATGATACTTGAATACATGACGTTTCCTATGCCTCAACATACATCATCAAACGTGATCGATTAGCAACTACGTTTTAATCATACATGTGCTTTTAAGATAAGTAACAAAGTTATTATTATTTTTATAATTATTATTAAATATTTTTAAAATTATTATGAACATACTATCAGTGTTCAACTGGTAACCAGTTCCCGGTACAAGCCACATCCTGCAACCTTCTTAGTACTCGAGAACCCGTCGGAGGATTCTTGATGTATTTGAAGCAAATCAAGATTCACCCCTATGCTTTCAAGATGGCCAACTTATCCTTTTGAGATTGTCTCAAGTGCCCCCAAAAGGAACAACTCTTGTTTTGACTCTCCACAGTTTTCTCAATTATATTGCTAGGTCAATTTTCCCTTTTTCCTTCAGTTCCACCCTGGCATCCCTTGGTTCAGCTACATCAATTATTATTATTATTATTATTTATTCGCTTTGGAGCCATGCTCTTTCGAATCAGAGCCTAGCGCATCCCATGAACTTAGGGCAGTCATAAGTCTGTTGATTGCTGCTGGAAAGTGACCTTCTCAGTAAGTTAGCAGTACAAGAGTCACATAATTATTATAATTATTATAATGATTATTATGATTATTATTGTTATTTAAATTCGATACGTACAGATAAGGAGAGGGCGAAACGCCGAAATACTTATATAGTGCGGCCTAATAAGGAATGGCCAAAAGAGAAACCATTCAAGTTGACGGCTTGGACCAAGTTAAATAATGGGTCCTCCCAATCAACACCGGGAATTGTGGGAGTACCCATTGGCTAAAAAGGACTTTGTAAATTAAGGTCCTAATAAGCAGTTATTTTTCTTACCAAGATTTCTTTTTTCAAGCCTGTATTGCCTGTCTTTTGGTTGTATCAACTTCCAAGGTTCTGTGATGATATTAAAAGTGTGCCCAGTTTCATCCCAATCCTGTGCAGGGGCGAAGTTTGGATTGTCCAATATGTTACGTGAAAACTTCGCTGCAAAGAAAGTTGATTAAACGGCTTGGAAGACTGACTTATTATAAATATATATACATTTTCAATTTTACTGGCGATATTGGAGCAGTGTTTCAGTGGTTCGATCTTGGGTTGTTTCTTGGTGTTGGAAAACCTGTTGCTGCTAGTTATTGTGTGTACTGTTCATTGTCTCATGTAATTTACGTTACGTTGTTATTCCAAACAGGGAAAATCTCGTTCTATGCACTGTGTGGAAGACAATTGTCCAGAGAACGTATACGACACTTATTTCGGCAAATATAAACTCCAGACTGCACGGGAAACTGAAAAAAATGAATTACCAGACATAGCACCAGTGTAAACAGCAGTCGGAGGACTCCTTATGCCAGCCCCTAGCTTAGAACTCGCAACAGAGACACAGAAAAGATATTCGCTGTCAGCTTGTAGATGATCTACTGTTTCTTGAGTCTTTGATAATCCGACTTCAATTTGACGCCAGGCTAAATCTGTGTCTCGCTGGAGGTAGGAGATGACGTAGTTTGAAAAATCCTGGCCTGAATTGTTGTGAACTGGTATCCATTGCACCTGTTATCAAAACAATCATGATTACAAACTCTGACATATAAGATACACTTATATGTAACTTTGGCGGTCTCTCGATCACTTGAATTAATTAAGTTAAACAATAATTATTAGTCTAAGAGGTGAGGTAGTAAAGGTGAGATTGCTTGATGGTGAATTAAGGTAAATTGCAATATTTTCTTGCCCAGTGGTCCCGGGTGATACATAAAGTTGCAAGATCATTGCTTAGATTGTTGTGGCACTCAGTTGTTTTCACGATCCATTTCTAACAAGGATTATAAATTATTCTTTATGCGTCCTAGCTTAATGCAAGAGTGGGCTCTTACAATGCAGCATAATGGGTAAGAAAACATGGTAACTTATCGAAGCTAAAAATTTAGTTCTGACCAATGTGCATGTCGATAAGTGCCAACCCTGGTGAGGGGCGGAGGGAGGAATTCTCAAGGCAACGTAAAATATGCCCTTTTTCTTCTTTCCTCTTAGGTCGGGATCTTAGTTGACCCTAGCCTGCGCTGCGGAGCATGGCGGTTTTGGTCGGACGCCATCCTACGCAGGATAATTTTGTGGTGATGTCTGATAAACTTTCACTTGGCCTGCTTATTGGACTTGTAAAAGTCTAGTAAATTTTTTTTGGTCTGTTTACTTTCCCAGATTGTTGGAAAAGAAAACGACTTATTTATCGCGATAGTATTCTCGATGGACAGAAACACATTTGCGGTTACGTAACTGAGTTTATTTCCAGGATAGGTACTCCAGCTAAGTATTTGAATATATATATTTATAATTTCAGTTTTGAGCAGCGATTTTTTTGAATAGCTGAGCTAATGTAATGTACTGTTTTGTTAGAAAATTGCGAGACTAAGAACAAAACAAGTCAATTAAGTTATTTATTGCCCTAAGGCTGCGTGCAAACGGACGCAACAACTTCCAACATTGTTGCGCCAACAATGTTGGGAGTTGTTGCGTGTGTGTTAGCAGTGGTGTGCAAACGGATGCAACAACCCCCAACAATGTTCGGACCTGCAGTGCATCGTGGGAAGGATACAACCCATAAGTCTTTGTAAACCATGCGTAATGAGCGTGCGTGGCCCCAACAATGTTGAAAGAGCTGTGCAAACGGATCCAACATTGTTGCGCTACGCTTCGACGATCAAGGAACAAAAGAAATGTTGGGAGTTGTTGACTGAAAAGTTTGACCGGTTTCAAACTTTGCGCAACAACACGCAACAACATCCAACAACATGCAACAGGGCGTGCAAACGGACGCAACAGGTAACATCCAACAATGTTGGGAGTTGTTGGCCAACAATGTTGCGTCTGTTTGCACGGGGCTTAAGTCATTTCTTATAGGAACTAAACAGAGCCGTTATGTCAAGAATTACGATGGGTTACCGAAGTTTATTGTTTCAAGTGAATCCTTAGTATAGTATTTTTAAAGGATTTGCGCTTTTAAGCCCCGTGCAAACGGACGCAACATTGTTGGCCAACAACCCCCAACATTGTTGGATGTTAAATGTTGCGTCCGTTTGCACACCCTGTTGCATGTCGTTGGATGTTGTTGCGTGTTGTTCCTGATAGCCGCCGGCTCTGCTCACCGTTACACTTGTGTTTTGCCTTGTGGTATTAACAACTGGTGCGTCCATGATGACAGCTTGGAAATCTGCTTCTTTGAAAACACTGTGCAATTTCGCCTTTGACCCCTGTGTTCGAACACCAAGTTTGTACTGGCCAGGCGAAAGCATGAGTAGGTCAGCAGCTGAAGCTTCAAATTCCAGTTTCTTTACATGCTGCAAAAAGAATTCTTATCTCTTAATTGTTTGATTCGCGACCATGTGTCAGACTTACCAACAAGGGTTCATTTATTATTGTTATTACAATATTTTTTCTCTTGCAGGCAGGAGGAGGAAGGAGGGTTTAGTGCAATAATTTACTAGTAATTCAAGCTTGAATGGTTTGAGTGGTCCTAGTATAATCACGGGTCCTCAATTTCATGATTTTTGCCAAAGCACTACCTATACGTACGATGGCTTAATTGCTTCCCTCCCTTTCTAGGGACAAATTGATTTAATCAGCTTTTAAAACCCACTGTCACTCACCATGATGCATTGTATTCTTATGTGCACATGGGAATTCTAGGTACAATACTGGCAAAGGTTTGAAGATATCGAATTACAAAATGAATAACGACATTAGAAGAGAACATACCAAAATTCAGCCAAACGATAGACACCTTTAAATGCGAGGATTACCCCCGCCAGGTCTTAATGTGGCTCTAGTAAATGTGGTATATCATCTATCTTTACTCATCTATACTAGTATACCTAAAGGGTAGAAATGCTGCCGTAGGCAAGGAATAGTGAAGAAATGGAAAATTAAGTGTGAAGTTTTTAGTAGAAGGTGATATGAGGCTAAGAGGGCTATCCAAAATCTTTGTCAGTGATGACCTAAATCATTTAGAAATTATCTTCCTTTCGAGTATCGCGTTTGAGGTGACTCTAACTTAATTATGAGCCAGTTTTACTATTTTTCGAATGTGCTCGCGTCGCGTCAGAAGTGGCCAGATAATTTTCGGTTTTTGATATGTATAAGTTCAATCATTCTCGCTTTCAACTGAATGACTGAAATAGAATTTATTTTGAAGCTTTGATTTGGTGATACGAGCAAATTTTCTAACTACGGTGATCAGTCTTCCTGTTCGCACAAAAATAGAGCGATTTCCACGAAAGTTAAAATTCTTGAGTTTAAGACTATTTATTTCATCTGACAAGTTTAAGGAAATTTGTTCGACTGTGATCTGCGCTACAAGATAGGTTTGAGAAACGACAATGGAACACAAAATTAACTTGGCCAACCATGTCACGAATCAAACACCAATTTAAATAACTTTTGAAGGCAGTTATGTTCAATTTTTGATAAATATGACACATAAATTTGGGGCTCGTAGCTCTAATACTGCTTGTGTGATTCCCTCTTAGAACAGAAGGGAATTTGTTTGGAAAATAATAAAGGCTGCGGCTATATGGCCGGTAACCGGTCAAGACTTTCAAAACACCAAATGCCGACAGTCCGATATTTTTTCAATAATTTTGACAAATCGAAGAATCCCAGCCAGACCAAACTATCATAAGTCGATTTAGAACAGACTGAGAGACTTAGTTTCTGATGCAACAAATGTTGTCAAAGAGTAAGTCCCTTCAATTTTGAGGGAAAAAAAAATTCAGTAGAATATGAGTGGATTCGATTCCGGAGCATAGGTTCTAAATACCACTACTCTAACCACTAGACCAACGTGGTTTCGCTGCAAGGTGGTGGTTTTATTCAAATATTATAGCGTAAACCCCCCAACCCAAAACAGAAGCTAACCGTTAACCCTAATCACTGTTCTCAGGGCTTAACCCTTATAAGTATAGCTTGTGCTTAAATTAGTATTCTCAGTGCTTAACCTTAATCGGTATCGCCAGTGCTTAACACTAATCACTATAGTCAAAATATCGGACTTATAAAATATTGCATTTTGTGAAAATATGCTTGAAAGATATTAAACGGCTGCTTGCTCCAGTGATGCTATTGCTTTGTCCATATGCTACGCTATTTTGCTGGTCTTAAGCGTGTTCTGTTTTCCGAAAACCAACCCAAATATACAGAAATTTCGAACTTTTCTTCGCTCTGCCTTGGCATCGACTATGATCAATTCATCATGAATGCCTTCGGTTCTCGGTCGACAAGCGTCGGCCAACTGCTAAAGTATGCAGCACGTGTAAAGTTGTTTGTTTTCTAATTAGACCTTTTTGTTTCTATACTTTAACGAGATCGCAAATTATTCAAATTACAGTGTAAGAAGAAAGTACGTGGCAATCCACGGCGCATTCTAAATCTCCCATTCCAGCATAGCTACAATTCCTTGCGAATCTACTGCGCATCCTAAATCTAACAATCGCACTTAACCACAATTCCTTGTAAGTCTATTGCGCATCCTAAATCTTTTAGTCGCGCATAACCACAATTCCTTACGTTTGGTAAGAAAAAAATGATTGAATGCCCCTATAATGTAATTTTTTGCCGATTAGAGAGCTGCCTCGTTCGCTCACTTCAGGCTCACTCACTGCGGCAGCAATAAAACTTAACGCCGCGTGATAAACGCTACCTATTTTGTTTTCTTCTTTTTTTCTATTATTATTTAACGTAATTTTTATAATTTTGATTGATTTGGAAAACGTCGATACCAGCTGGTATAAGATTCCGAGAAACTGCGTGATGGAACCTGGGGGGATTGGAGGAACTCCTTCCCGGAGTTTTTGATGTTGCAGTATTTCGAAACGACTTTGCCTTCGGTGGAAAGCCTTTGATCTTCTCAACAAGATGAGGTACATTTTATGGGTGTTGGCACTGCTGGGGGCCTGTGGCGTCACCAACAATGGTCGCCAACTTGGCCGCCATCTTGGATTTTAAGAATAATTAAAAATTAGGTTAAAACCGCAATAAATGGTAATTTTTTGTGCTTGACATGTAAAATAACACATTAAAGAAAATAAGCACTGCATCATTTCATCCACAAGCTTTTCTTTTATTATTGAAAGAAGTTGAAAAAACATGCATTGTCACTGAAAAATGGCTTGATTAGCTGCTTCTTATGACGTCATTCTCGTAATCATAGTAACTGACCACCAATATCCCTTCTCAAAATGCGCGCAAGGGATAAACGAACAGCTACTGAAAACGTCAGGTGCTAATGTTTTATCGTTTAGAAAAAAAGGGGGAGCAACCAATTCCCCCACCCCCACCCGAGCTCACTGGGTGAAATCCAGTGAAAAATGTGCACTGTGCCTCAAGGAAAGTGACAATGGGACTTTAAGTGTACAAAGAAAGATGTTCCAATACTTCTGTGAGAAGCAGAAAAATCAGCGACAAAAATTATTGGCCTCTAATAAAATCTCAGAACCGCCAGTGAATGGCAAACCAATCTACTTCGATAGTGTTATTACTATACAATAGATAAAATTCTGGTTTCTTTTGCTTCATATTTAGTGACTTAGTTCAAAATCCAAGAAAACGAAGAATCTCACAAAAGCGGTTTGAAGGATATTTGGACGACTAATGTATTTAACATTGGTCTTAGTTATGTGCAAATGAAATACATTACCTTAGTGATGACTTCGAGTGGTTCCCTAGTCTTTAAAACCATCCAAACTCTGATGTGAAACTCATCGGCTTCATCTCCCTTCCATCTCAGTTTCACCGCCTCATCGTTGACTTGTAGAACCTCAATCTGGGATGGGGAGCCTTGGCAAACGAGGACTTCGCTTGAGTAGGCAATGGCGTGATCTTTAATTACACTTCCTTGGGCTGCGATGGGTTGAATTCTCGCCAATAACTTGTCGGTTTCCTCGATCTTTAAATCTTCTGTGTCGGCATCATATGAGAGGCCATCAACCTCTTTTGAAATCGGAATTAAGGTCGTAGTTGCTCCGTCATCATCATCTCTTGTTTGCAAAACTTCAACCACGTAATTTACTGCAAGCCTAACAGACGTCCACGTAATCTTCAGAACTGAATCTACCGGATTGAAATACAGGTGAATAGGAACAGCAGGTCTCAACCAAGAAACAGCTCCTTCAGAAATGGAATACCCACTTGGGAGTATCATGCAATCGTCTTGCTTTCTAGATACTTGTGCTACTCCTTTGTGTTCACCGTCAAGTGAACAAATCAGTACACTGTCACTAAAATCCACTTCAACTCGTTCACCCAAGCAATCCCTGTTAACGATGAAAGTCTTCAATCCTAGTAAAGCGTTTTGAATGGTCGCGCCTTGACTACTTATTTTTTTGGCATCGACTACTCCTAGGTTAAAGGATGTTGCGTCTTTCACAAAACAGCAACTCACATGCACGCGATGGGTATCATTGTCGAAAGAAATTTCGACGCATTCAGGAGGGGATAAAGACGGTATTGATGTGTTAGATTTGGCGCTGGCTCCTCCTATGTTCAATTCATCTCCCAAGACTTGCACAACCGTTTGATAAGCGCCGTCAGATTCCAGGAACAAAGAGCCAAGAGAAAAATCTTTCCTCATTTGTTTGCCAGCAAGTGATAGATCACTAATGTTCTCCTCTATAGCCGTGCTTGCGGTTTTAGAATTGTACACTCTAATTTTATAACCGGGTGCTGAATCAACACTCTTCCACAATACAGTAAAGACTTCTTCTTTGTATTGCTGTTCCACGGAGTCAGGTGGACTCAATAAAAGAACCTCATTGGACTGAGCAGTCCCACTAGGCAAGTACTCGTGATCGCCGGCGTTCATTACAGAAGCTTGATACCTTGCACCCGGTGGCTCTTTAGTGATATTCAGAGGGATCTCCACTACCGATTTGTGAACTGGTTGCTCTGATTGCTTGACAGCTATGATTTGGGTGCTGATTGGCCTTTTTTTCTTTGAGACGTCCTCTACCCTTAACAAAAAGTTTCCCTCCCCTGAATCAAAGGAGACAACCATTTGCTTCCATGCCTCGCTGTATTTCAATGCCACAGTTTCTGCGTTGTCACTGCAAGTAAGCAATGTATCCGTGACACAGGGGATGCTGTTTATCAGTGTTTCATTTCCTAAGGCGGTGACCCATGACTTGTAGGAAGCACCACTAACGAAACTCATGCTTTCGACGTCAAATGAACAATCCACTTTTGTTGCTGTGTTTGGTGTAACCAGCACGCCTGCAACTTGGGATGGAAAACTAACATTCACAACTTCAATTTTAGAGGCAGTTGCATTAGGAACAGGTGTAAAAGTGACTTTAATCTTTCTCTCTTCAAAAGCGTAATCATGGATGACAGACACTGGACGTGGCAACTGAGTAAACCCTTTGCTTGTAATTGACGGTAAACTTGGAAGGTGCTGCAAATCTTTTCCATCAGCCATCACTGACACAACATACGGCAAGCCAGTAATAAGTTCAACGTCCCCAATTTCAAACTCCACCCTGTCATTGCGGCTTTCTACCACTTTGGTAGAAGCAGAACTTGACAAACTAGACTTTGCGTGAATACTAGCTACATAGGTCACTGCTCCAGGAACCAGCAGCCAGGAAACGGTCAGTCGGTTTGCCTGAGGATCGTACGATGATGAGATGATTTTCACTTCCTTCAGGAAGGACAAGTGCTCTTCACTGGCGAAAAAGGAACTGGCTAGTGCTGTTGGGCTGCCTGTGGAACATACACGAAGCTGATACGAGGGATCTGATCTTGTTGTTATGTCAACCAGTGGAATTTGAATGTTGAAACTAAGGTCTCCATCTTTTAGGGCTAATACCCGTCGATAGATAGCTTTCTCTTCCAGTGAAACTACCTCGCAAAGGAAGCTGGAAATGTCTTGGGCATTAGTCACACTCCATTGGACATTTACAGCTTGTGACCCTGACTTGTAAGAGAGGCGGGCATTCGACGGGGCTGCCACGCGGTACAGATCGCCGGAGTATCTGAATTCATTATCGCTTGTCCCTCTTTGATATAGTTGGGCACAAACCCTAACTTTGATTAAGCCCGGAGGTCCAAAAACAAACTCTTGGGCCTGAAATACGAGCTTCCCATCATTTTCCTCAGCAGAGGGCTTGAGGACAGCACCACCAATCACGCTGCCGTCGTGAGAAAGGACTTCAACTTTGTATCCCTCAGCATATTTAACTTGGGAGAACAACACGTGCAACTCTCTTCCCTCTTGCTTAGACTCAATTTCTACTTTCGATGGCGCATAAAGGCGAGTTACAGCATCCACTGCTAACGATTGTTCCTTTCCTCTGAACATGTTATCACCTTGTTTGTACAATGCCTCAACAGACGCCTTGAATGTTTTGGCGTTGTATTTTATTGCTTCATTTTGAACATTAACATTACTTTTTGTTGTTGTTACGTCTCGTAGGGTTTTCTTTGCGCCACCCAGGTCGATGCATACAATTTGCACTTTGTACTTGACGCCTTTTTCCAATGGTTTCCAGGTAACTTGGATCTGATCTGACTCAGGCAAAGTGATCATGAGACCTTCTATTATCAAGCGATCCTCTACAGCTTTTATTGCCTCCTTTCCCTTCTTCTTGGCTTCCCCTAATCTATTCTCGGCTTTTTTCTGCTGTTCAGTCTTCCCAGTGAAAAAGTTGACGATGCCCTTTAGAAACCGAATGATGTCTTTTAATAGTATAATTACAGCTGCGACTGTGCCAATAACTTGGACTGCGTAAGCAGCAAGTACAGCAATACTTACTGTTGCTCCGACTGCAGCCAGCCTGTATAACAACAACAACAACAACAACAACAATTAAAATAATAACAATACTTTTAATTGTAATAATAATGATAAAAATTAAAGAAAAAATATAGCAAAAAATCCTACGTTATCGTTTTTCACTATATTCATTCAGATCCTGAAAGTCAGGCCAGTCACATAGAGAAGAAATTACATAGTTTAATCTGACAAAGAACTGACACAGATCAATCAATAAAACGCCCCAAAACTCGTTCAAAATACCTACACGTATAATCATATATATATTTTTTCTTTTATTTTAAAATAGATCAAGAAAAACCTTCAGTAGCTATAGTAGAAGGTCTCCTAGACAGCACGTCTTTGTGCATCCACGAGAGAAGACATCGTATTTACACGGCCTATGGTCAAGTATTGAATGCTTTCAACTTTTCAATTTATCAGTCAAGGCGTTTTCTGTAATTATTTCCTGCAAGAGTGCTGTACTATTAGTTGAGGCAAAGAAACATGACAAGGTTATTAACTTACAATTCAGCGAATTCACTGGCCAAAGCTGCCTCCTCCGTAGCGGCTAAAGCCTCCATGGCCTCCAACGCTGCTTCAGCTGCCTCTGTAACGTTGGAACTAGTAACACCACGGCAGATAAGACTTGACAGAACCCACTTGGATAGTTTGATCGTACCAAATGCTGCAAAGAATTTTGTCAGCTGCTCAGGATCAGAGAAGACTTGTTTCACCACATCTAGAGAGTTTTCTACAATATTTGCAATGAGGAAACCCTTTAAATCGGACAGGCGAAACTGACTGGGTGGTTTGTCAGGTGCTAAGACCATCCAAGGGAAATTGACAGTCAAAGTAGGTTCGTCAGTGAAGCCGATAATGATGTCCAGTTTGCCTTGCAATCCAAGTGCAAACCAAGCATTTGGTTTCTGGGACTCCTTCACAGGAACCTGCTTTATATCCAAGTTGCACTTCGTCTTGATAACTTGGTCGAAGACCAAACCAACAATCTTTTCACACGGGCTACTTATAATCTCGCTTAGCTTCTCAAATGCGCTGGCAAAATCAATCAGTGCCTCTAGATCAAGTAGGGCTTGCAGCTGACGAATCTTGAATCCTCCCTCTTTGCTCCATTCAAATTCAATGGAAGGATTTTCACGTCCAAGTAACTCTCCATCGTAAGTCAGACTCCCTAAGAAACAGCTTTCCTTGGTGTTGTACCCAACTGACCAGGTTCCTATATTCTCTTGAAGAAGTTTAACTCCAGCAGAAATATTGAACATCATATGCCCATCGAAGCGCGAGATCACAACTTCAGGGCCCCTTTCTTCGTCTTCGCGTCCAGCCGCGCCACCCAGTGTGACAAACCGCAAATCGATCTCAGAATCTGTGTAACCTTTAATAATCATTCCTTTGGGATTCGAATTGACTGAAATTTCAACCCCGAAAGGATAGCCAAAGATCTGTATGTGTGTCTCACCATGAAATCCTTCCTTGTACATCACCGCATTTCCCTCTCGGTCTTCTATTTCAACAGTCGATTTCGAGTAATAAACAAGGCCCCCTCTGAACTTGACATCCAGATATCCCTTTGGCCATTTGTGCCCCATCAATGTAAAAAACACGTCGTCGATACTAAGAGGCTTCTCCAGATCGAAAGAGATTCTTGCCACGACTGGCTTTCCCTGTTGGAATAAGATTAATCCTCGTAGAGTTGCAGCAGGATCCTCACCAGTCCCGTTTGATTTAAAGAAAATGACCTCGCCACTTATCATGTATGAAGGGATAACAGGCTTGTGATGGTCTTCGTCAAATTTCCATATAAGCTTAAGCTCTGGATGTTCGAAAGAAATTCCAGACATTCCAAACGGCTCTGTTATTTTCTCAGGGCCACCTTCAACTGTCATGTTAAACTCTACCTTTAATTCTGAGACCTTAAGATTGCCAATGAAAACCAGCGGATTTGAATTTTCTTCCAACAGCAAATACATCTTGCCACTCAAGTTGAAGTTCATCTTGTCGGTTGGGAAAGGCCTGTATACCAGAGTAACTTCTCTGAAAGTCAAAGTACCGCCAAAGAGCTTTATCTCTTGAATGCTAGCGTTAAATTCGGTCTCTTCAGGGTTCTCTGGTAACTTGCCAAATAAAACAACATCCGAACGTTCGCCTTCTTTTTGAATTCGGGTTACGTTTTGAACTAGCTTGGAGTTACTGCTGGAAAAGTGGATCTTCGCAAATGCTCTTACTCCCCGTAGATTGACATCTAATTTGGAGATGCTTGTGATGTCAAGGTCAGCAAAAGGGACATTAACACCTAGATGTTTGGATAAAGAAGACTTTTTTACATGCTGTAGCTTCGCAAAGTCTTTGCGCAATTCACCAATGGTCTCCTTGTGCAATGAAATTACCGACAGATTTGCTTGTTGTACTGACAGGACATCATCCACAACGCTTAGCCTTCTGTTAATGAAGGAAAACCTGAAGCCACTTTCTAGCGTTAACCCGAACAAGAAACCATACTCAGAAGACTCTTCTTTGTCTGTGTTTGACCTCTTGACAATCAACAATCCTGTCCCTAATCCAGATACATTTCCATAAAGAAGTAGCGTCTTCTTGGCAAAATCAATATAAATCGATGCGGTCTTGAAATTAGGTGAACGCAAAGAAGACTCGATCCCTTCTGGTACAATTTCATTCCAAGATGTGGAAGACTCGGAGGTAGCTGACAATTGACGAGTAATAGCTTCAAGATTTACTTGCTCTGGCTTTTGCACAGTCCCAACAGCGAGGACTCCAGACTCCTTGTCATAGTAAATCTCCACACCGATAACAACTGATTGCAGCAAACGAACCCTTCCAGTAAGACAAACGGAACTAGACCAGTGATCAGATTCTCGCTCTTTTCTGAAATGCAGCTTTCCACCTAGAGCTTCAACATTGATAGTACTAAAGCCAGCGTCTTTGGACCAGGTCCCATTCGACTCACCTTCCAATGCCAGCTCTGTGCATTCTTCACTCTTTTTCACCATGAAGGAAAACGAGCTCAAAGACGCAGTAGCACCCTCTGGGAGTTTAACGTCAAGTCCTGGAGAAAGTTGTTGAGCTGCCGTTTCGAAGTCCAGGATCTCGTTATCTGTCTGGTTTAAACGTCCTTCCAAAATCAAGCAGTTCTTCGTGTCCTTCATTAATCTCACCCTCAAGTGGATCTGTGCAATGGTAAAACCTCCCTCGATGAAGACTTCTGTTCGTGAAGGGTGACTTTTGCTGTCCGAATGATATTCAAATCTTGCGTTATGAAGTTTAATGATAGGTGTCTGAAGGATGGTCAGAGTTTCTTTTGTTTGTATCACAACATCCAACTTGAGAACTTGAAATGGAACCTCAAATTGAAGAAGAGCTTCCTGAAGAATAATAAGTAGTTATGGCTAAATGCAGGTTCTCAAGAATAACATGCAATTTTATTTTTATTGCTACCCGTTCTTTCCAAAGAGTAGAACAAATGTTCTCGGTATCATTGTTATTGAAAATCACAAAAACTTCATTTTTGGTGCAAACAGAAGAGTATTTAAATGAAACTCTTAACTTAAATTAAAATCGAATAGAAACGAAAACGTTTTTCTAAAATTCAGAGACAATATAGAAAGATACCATTTAATTCTCCAGACCTAATCAAACTTTGACACCTATTTTTATGTGCTTTTCTTTAGATCAAAATAAGCCTACTATAAAGCGATTACAACAGTGTTACCTACCATTAGCTCTATGTCCAGAAAATTAAGCGACCCATTGACCACTGGAACGTCAGGGGCGTTTAAACCACAAAGTTTTAACAAAGACGAAAGTGTTAATCCTCCTGGAATGTCTGGTCTAATCTTAGCCTCAAGTATGCTCTTCTCCGATTCCTGGGTTGAGCAGTTAAGTTCCATAATAAGACTTAATGATGGTTCATGGCTTTTGAACTTGCCGGTGATTGTGTAGTGGTGTTTAGTATCCTCTGCTTGTTCTTTGACGTATTTGAAGCGAAGCTTGTGAAGATTGAAGGGTCCAAGTGACAGAGAACCTTGAATGCCTAAGGAAAACGTCTTCAAGCTCCACTCCTCGCCGCATGGGAAACTGAGAATCACCACCACATCTTGAACTTGCAAGTTCTTCACCTGGTCAAATGCATTTCCTTCAGGGTGTACTTGAGTATCTGCCTTAAATAATTCATTAAGAGATTCACTCGTGGACATGTTTTCTGTTAATTGATAATTTCCACAAAGCTCTCTTTTCTCTGCATTGTAAGCTAAGGAAGCGTGAGTCTTCGCATTTAGAGACCCTTCAACTGAAAACGACATCCTTGTTCGATCTTGAATACTAGTGTACGTTACTCCAATTTTAATGTTGAAGAGCTGAAGACGTCCAACGTTAAACTGCCTCTTTTCCACAACGACCAAGAAATCTGTTAATCTGAGAGACGCACCCGCGTTTTCAAAGCTCAAAGAAATTTGAGAAATCTTCAAATCAAGCAATTCTTTCACAACAGGAATATCTCCTGAATCGACAACTCCCATGCCCTTGACAAACTCTCCAAAGGTTAGATCGTTTGCGTTTTCAAACGTCAAGGTGCCCGGTGCGTCGGCCTTTGGCAAAGAAAATGCTGCATGGCACACGAACTTGTTAAAGACGCACACCTTTGTTTCAGCATGTGCATACCATTGCTCGTTGGCATACTCCACGACGAAATTTGCGTCGTAAATGGCCAACCTTTCCTCGACAACTGTCAGTTCTGGAACCATGAACGAGACCATCACAGAAATGATATTTCTGCTTTGGGGATTTGCTTCAAGATAAATTTTATCCAATTCCACTTGATCCAGTTTTGAAGAAATGAAAGGCAGAGATACCGACATTAGGTCTGTCATGTCGCCTGGAATAACTGAGCTAAGGGCTGATCGCAATGTAGTACCAGGAGAACTAGGAGACAGTGATATGCTGCAGGCATACCCATCCTTCGAATCCGAATCTGGAATATCTGGAACTTGAATTGGCCAAAATGAGAGCTTCGAGTTTAAGTAAGATTTTTCCTCTTCAGATGAAGAAATAGGCAATTTAAAGTGAGCTTCAAGTAACACACCAGGCTTTGTGCTGAAGGGATTAAGAATGGTCAATGATCCTTTGGTATCTTCAGGCTGAGGAAGGCTTTTCGGAATGTAGGAAGAAAACGAACCAAACGAAAAGTCAAAGCTCACTGAGCAGACGCGGCTTTCTTTGGAACCTCGAACATCCTGGGCAACCGATATTCTTGGCTTTGTCAATGACAAATTTTTCAGCATCTCATTTTTAAATGGCACCCGAAGCTCTAATAAGGTGCCTGTATGATCAAGTAATTTGAATACTTCGAACGGAGTGACGGTTTCAGGAAACGAGATTACCACTTCTGGTAGGTTTGCCGAGGTGGACGTCATTTTTACGTTGACTGGAATTTTCTGGATATTTGCATCGCAGTAGATCTCAAAACTGCTCTTGTATGTACGTGGGTCGCTGACCACAACGTGAATTCGAGACATTTCTACGCTTAGCGAGTTCCCAAACTTCATTTGGTTCATCCCATGTGGTATGATGATATAAAAGTCACCAGAAAGAACTTCGACAGCAAGTGGAGATCTAAAGTACTTCACTGTGGAGATTGCGCGATCAATTTTCCAGGAAAGTATCTCATCTTCAAAAAGCCTTGATGGAAAGCATTTTGACAATGCTTCAAGTGGAAGGCGGCCCATTACACGATCAAGTAATGTTCCTAGGGTCAAATTGTCTCGGTACTTTGTAGACATCCTAAGTGCATTTAAATACATGTCAACAGACGCTTGCCTTTTCGTCAACAACTTGCTTAGGTTGACAGTGTATTCTATATCCCGGTGAAAAGTGGATAATACAAGTGAAAGGCTTGGCGTCTCAGAACTTGGGCCTTTGACAACAAACTTAAGTCTGGTTACGTCATGCGAGTCAAACTTTATTGAAGGCGTTGGCAAGGACACATGTATGTGGCTTGAGACAACCTCGGCATCTCCCAATGAAGAAATCTCAACAGAAGACCCTTCCAAATATACTTCCTGATCAAAGGTGACCATTGCAATGAGATCGTTTGGTAATTGATCAGTTAGATTTTTCATGTTTGCTGCCCCGAGAAGAATTTCCAGAACGCTTCCAACGTATATTGGTTTTCCATCGGCGTTGTACCCAAGAGACTTGAGGAATTCCAAAATTGTTATCTGGTTTCCGCTTTTGCTTGAAGGAGCAAGCGTCGTGTGTGTGAAAGCAAACTTAGTGCTCTTGTTGTTTTGAAACTTTATGTTAGGAGATAATTCCTCAATGAAAAGGTATCCTTGGCTGGGAGAAACCTTAATCAGATAGCAGTCAGTGTTTTGTACCTGTTCAAGAGTCACAACCGTCTCACAGCCACTTTCACTCTTGAGAGAGATCTTTCTCAAATCACCATTGATGCAGTGTGCGTTAGAAACAGTGAGAATGCGTTTGGTGGAGGCGACAAAGAGATTTCCGTCGTCTTTAACGTCTAGCCAGTACGTCTTTTCAGATACTATTGCTGTCACACAATATGTGTCAACTTCCGGCAGAAAGGACCTGTGGGGGATTGTAAACCCAGGGTTACTTCTCAGTTGTTCAGCCACTTCGGATGGTTTACCGTCATCGTGTTGCAATTTCTTTGTTCCTCTTGGAGCAATGTTGACGTCCTCTCCTGGGTCCAATTTAAATGAAAAATCGCCTTCTAGGTAGAAAAGAGAGACAAGTTCCTTCCATCCTTGGAACGATGTGGAATTGACGTCAGGTAAATGAGTTGAAGGGACACATCCCCCAGAAGTGAACACAATCCTACAAGACTTCTTCTTCTTAACGGCGGCTTTTATGATTCCTTTAACAACAAGAGGAGATGGATGCTGATATCGACCTTCGGCTGAAAAGTAGTATGTCTTGGCATGAAACGAATCAAAGAACTTGCCAATCCCAAATTTATAGAAGTAACTTTTGAAAACTTTGGCTTTGCCTAGCAACTGCTTGATGGTATGCTCGATGCTTGATGCAGCAACATCAACCTTGTCCCTTTTTACAGGACTTTCAGTACCTCGCTCAAAGCATTGCAAATACTTCATAACGACTGATTTCGTGAGATCTTTCCAGGGTTTCAGTCCTTCCAGTGGTTTCACACCCTTCCAAGGATCCCTAGTATTCTCTTGAATTGCTCTCACAATTTCCATATGCTTCTTCTCAACTTTTGTTAGAAACGCGTTAACACTCTCTGATTTATTCTGGATTCTTTTCTTTCGAATCAGTTCCGCTCGAAATGTATCAGCCACCCTCTGTACCATTTCCCCATTCCCACATCCAGCTATGTCCTTTACGGTCTCACTAAGGTGTTTTATGTCGTCTTCCTCTTCATAATCATTGCCCAGTGAGACTTTCCGTCGTAGAGTTGTACTAAGAAGGAGCATGGCTGCCAAATTATGGATTGCCCACTTTGGAGGTAACACTGTGCCCAAGATACTGTTTTTGCGACTTCCGTGATGGGGTATCTTGAAAATATGTAGGTCCTGTACATTTTGCTTTCTTAGCGTTGACGTTATGTCATGCCCATGAGCATCCCCAGTCAAGCAAATCTTACCTCCCTTCTCTACGTAAAGAATGATGCTTGATTTGTTCAGATCCCTGTCTTCATGTTGTTTTCCCTTGGCTAACTTAGCCTTTTGTTCTTTTATGGAAGGTCTCTCCTCTTTTGAATGTTCGTATCGACTGTACAACACACCAGGCGATGTAGGAAACGTGAAAAACATGCCATTACCACCAAAGGCATTCTGTATATCATCTTCATTTAGAGTAACTTCAAATTTAGAGTCTAGCAGAAAGTTGGAAAAGCTACAATAGGCTTCCGTTTGAAGAGCAAATTTTCTTGTAAGCAATACTGGTCCATTGCAGATCAATCTTTTCTCTGGGGTCTCATCTGCAACCTTGAGTTGGTAATTCTTAGGAAGGAGCTCCCTGAAGAGTCTTTCCACACCGTCTAAATGATCAGCGTGGGGATGGGAGACTACCGCTCCATCAAGTTTGATCTCTGGCAAACATACATGCAAGAAGAAGCATTGTTCAGAAATGAAATCAAGTTAAACAGCTCGCTTGTGTACACCACAAGTTTCGTATCAGTTTCTGTACAAAGAAAGGCAAAAGCGCAAGCTTGAAGAATGATAGTAAGTTTAAAAACGTCACTTCACAAAGCTACAGAAGCATAGATGACAGAATTTGTTCGGAATTGTGTTGTAGGGAGAGGCTAAAAGGAGCATTACCACGTAAATCCCGTTGCAGTTGCCTGCTACTCGTCTCTTTACCGATATTTTATAGTAGTGTTATATCGCATCTACACGTCTAGTTGGAGAAAGGCACTGGAAAGTAGAATGTATTGTCTGAAACAAGAAGAGCAATTTCGAAGTGCAATTTCCGAATAGAGTCAAACCTCTACTCAACAACAGCTCTGTAATACGGGAACCTTTCTTTCTACTGGTCCAAAGGAGAGCAGACCTTATTTGTTACTTGTCTCTATCAAAGGGACACGTCTACAGGAAAATATCTCGGACACTCAGCACTTTCCCTTCGGTGACAGCATGGAGTATATTAACTACACATTTTGCCCCTGAACCAAAAATGAAATGAAGTACGACGTAGGCCAAGGTGTCAGGGCTTTCTTGGGAAGCTCTGATGAGTTACCGCCAGGTTTTTATGGGAACACAATAACATTACAGTGCCATGACAATACACACCATACAGGTGTTGATTTTAACCAAGAGGAAGGGTTGAGTTTGAGTAGATATGAAAATTACAAGTATTGAAAGCATCCCAAATAGGTAATGTTGTTTTGTATCTGATAAATTAAGTAAACGAAACACTTAGGGGAAACAAAAGTGCCAGTCAAGAAATGAGACCTAAGCCATTCAGGAGGCTACGACGTCCAGAAAATTCAAAGAGCCCTTTTAACTGCTTCAAAGTGTTCCGCATGCTTATGAATTGGAGGTAGTCCTTGCTTAAACCTTCTTCGGTAAGGTAACGTATAAGGACGGTAATTAAGACCAAGAAGAGTTCTCACAGTGGTCAGAAGAAACAGAGACACTGTTATCAGTTTGATAAGTGAAGCCTCATTGAGGCTGACCTTGTCGGTCATGATAAGCTTTGACCAAACGTTAAACTCATACCCAACCTATCTCGCCGTGAAGGTTGATTACTGGCGTAAGAGGAACATTTAAAATATGGGCAAGGTCGACATCATAAGATTAGTGACTTGAGTGAATTCCAACCATCAGAGCAGATATACATGTATCGTTTAGATACATCTCTATATCATAACGATGATAATGATACTGAAAATGATAATGACAATGACAATGACAATGACAATGACAATGACATTGACAATGATACTGATAATGATAATAATAATGACAATAATGATAATGACAGTAATGGAAATGATAATTAACAATTATTCCTCGAGGGCGCGTTGGATATGAGATGATAGATAGCCAACGAGGCGCGTAGCGCCGAGTTGGCTATAATCATCTCATATCCAACAAGGGCGAGTGGAATAATTGTTTTATTAAAAACGCCCACAAAATCTCGTTGAATCTCCCCTACTAGAACAAACCGGAAAAGACAAGGGACTTCCGCTATTCACATGTCACACGTCTATCAAAACTGTCAACGCGCGAACGGACTCGCCTGGACTGCATGAATGAAAAATCAAAACATTGTAGCGATGAACATTAGTTTTTGAAAAACTCATCGGGATTCTAGGATTTTACACAGCAGAACAGCAAAAAAACTGGCAGATAATGTGAAGGAAAAGAAGTGCCAGTGACAGCCGTCGAAATTACTGTGAATTTGGATTTTCGGTGCAGTTATAAAAGTAAGAACAACGGAGAAAAACTATTACCTAGGTCGCTTGTTATGAAGTTTCTTTGAAGCCACGAGCTGGTTTTGCTGAACGAGAAAAGAAGCTATACTGCCGCCTCGATTGCTCTAGTGAATGGCTGCATAGCCTGTATTTGTAGCTGGTTACTTGTGATTTATATTCTTGATGTCGGATAAACAAGCCGCAGTTATCTATCGGCGAGTGACTCGATCGGCGAATGGCTTCGCGATCACTTGTCTTCTTTCGTAGCTGTTCAAGGTACTTTAGTTCCATGTGTTTTCATGTGTTTTTCAACAAACTTTCAAACAAGCTCTTGTGGCTTTTTTGCTTGTTTTTGTCTTTTTTCTTTCGATGAAATTGCATTTCTAGTATTCTAAGAAATGAATTAAAACGATTTGCTTCTTGCGCCGTTCTATCCTTCGCGAAAAAAATCTCAGCTAGCTTCCAATTTAAACTGACGCGTGCACCGACCATATATGGAGAGCATGGTATAATAGCTCATATACCATAACGGCTAAGCCAATCAAAATGCTAGAATTGCATTATCCAATGATTCAGTTTTTAATAATAATAATTAGCAATATATAGCGCCAGCTTGCAGAATGTGTGGCGAAATTGAGGAGGCAGTGACACACGTGCTGGCGGCGCGCAAGATGCCTGCTCAAAAGCATTACACAAACTGGAGGCATGACAAAACAGCCATAGTAATACACTCAGGCGGGCATTATGAACACCTTCGCCTAGAAAGGAACAATAAATTGTGTTACCAAACACCCTGTAATCGGTCCTATAATCGGAGATCAAGATTCTGTGCGGCTTCAAATCCAGGCCGATCTATCAAATGAGGCGAACAGACCGGATGTTTTAGTGCAAAAAAATTAATAAATAAATAAATGGCTCGTCCTTTTGACACCAGGATTGGTGTGTTGGAGAATTAAGAAGAGATCGAGAAGTACCAGGATCTGAAGGGCAAATTGAGAAGGAGGCACTTTCTTTAGTAAAGCCTATCTCTTAAGCTGGGGCTAACGCTCATTGGAGCTCACTCAATCCACGGATTATTTGTAAACACTTGATAATCACTGCAGAGTTATTAATTCTCTGTTCCATCATTTGTTTCACAAAGCTCTGCGGTAACAGGAGCCCATAACCCGGAGCGAGCAACTTCCATGTGCTCGAGTCACGGCGTTTTCAGAGACCAGTTAATGTTTAGAATTGTTTTGGTGCGAATTTTGAATATCTTTTACCGCCCAAAAACAAGTCAGCAAAACCTTATACAGACCTAAAAAATGATATGTCTGCCTTTTAATAACGTTTTTTTTTTCTTCTTGATATCTTATACTTCAAGAGGTGCTCATGGACATGGCGGAGTTTTTTTTCCGAGGGGAAAATCGCCCTAAAATGTTTCTAAAAATATACCGGTCTGTAAAAGCGCCATGACATCGGCCTAGTATGGCCAGTGTGGGAGTTGCTCGCTCCGAGTTATGGGCTCCTGGCGGTATAGCAATATATTTATAGGATATATCCTTGACAGCTATGACAACTGAAGCGCCAGACGATCAATTCAATGACATCGTCCTTGAAAAGGGCATTCCTGAGGTTTATTCGCATTGTTGCACAAAGAAACTGGGGAGCTTAAGCATAGACGTTTTTGAACGACGTACGTCAACCAGTGGCGGTTTTGCCCAAGATCTCGGAAAAATCGTATGTATTGTATCGCGTAAGTGAAGACTCTTAGCTATACAAAAGTGCTAGCGTCGGGTCTATTGAAAAGGAAAAGGCCATTGCCGAAAGTCATAAACAAATAAACCTTAAAAAAAATGAAGCAAAGTTACTTGTTACTTAAATTTTAACTATTAAACGTACACCAAAACAGTCATTCATAACTGGTTTATACTCAGCGTGCGTGTATTGAGTAAAGTTATGGATGCACGTGCGAACTTTGGAGAGCACGAGAGAAACGCAAGAGGTTGACTTCTTGAGCGCTCTCCAAATTTCCCAAAAGCATCCGTATCTCCATAAACGCACAGCTTAAGGCTTTTTGGGGGGACCTTGCTGCAGTTGTTTTTGCTTGTAAATTTATGTTTTATTGTAGAATTTATCTTTTTGCAAGACAATTTTTTTCTCGAATGGTTTGGTTTTTAACAAAAGTACGAAATTTTTCGCTATTTCTTCATAATCAACTTGTTTTCAAAAGGATAAACAAACGTTAAAAACGGAGGACACTTTGTAGTTGGATATTCCTTGAGACAAGCCAGTTTGTGGCTTATCCTGTTAAATTAACGAATGTGCCTTGGCTTCCATCGGCATAATCGAAAGGCAGTAACTCATTATTCGGTCAGCCAGACTGTTTGTCACTTAGTAGTTTAGTCAGTCGGTCAGATGGTAGTTACATTCAATCGGCCATTCCGCTATTCAGTCCGTCCGTAAGTCAGTAAGTCAGCCAGGAAAACAAGCAGTCTTTTTGGTTCACAGCTGATTTACTCTATGTACCTTTGCCTTTGCTGTTGTGATCGCATGCCAAGCGAGTCAATGTGTATAGAAGATATTGGTAGTAAGGCTTAGAGAGCTGCGGTTTCGTAAGATTCTTGATTCGCCTTTTAATAGTTCCCCCCGCTCCTTCGTAAGTGACAGGCCCTCCGTCCACCAAGTAGAAACGACGGTTTCCACCTATAAATTGAATATCGTGCGTTAGATTTCTCAGTATCCATTAGTAATTGCTTGATAAGTTATATTCAGTATCGTTTATTCGATTAAATTCCCTAGTACAGAAAGATTCTCCAGGTAAGAGTTTTCAAATATGACATGTCCCTAAGAATTCTCAGGAACTCACCAGGGTTAAATTCCAAAATGGAAGCATCTCCAAAACCGGCGTACACGACATGTAAAAACACCTTAGTGTTATCAGCCATAACCTGATCCAGTATCTTTCAGATTCCAAGCACGTCTCGTAGCTGCATCTGGCGAGGAATAATATAATACGAGGTTTTTCGTTTATTGAAAATGATTTTGTCTCGAAAAGGTCAACTGTTCACGATCTGCATACTTTTTCATATCCTGCATAGCTTGGATCTAAACTTACGTTTCATCTATTGTTCGTAGTGAAATGCTAACATCTCATGAGAACGTTTGTGGAGTTCTTAAAACAAAACAAACAAACAAACAAACAAGTATTGACAAGCCAAAAGGATAACCAGAAACGAATTGAAAGAAGTAGGAAAAAGTTCTTGTATCCTTAAATAAATGGCACGCTCTAAGGGCACAGAAGGTAAAAAATTCTGGTTATTTTACGGCGCGACTACTCGAACCAGGGCACTTGGAAAAAGATTATCCAATCACAACGCTTTTTGAAAACAAAAGATTCGCATTTTTTTTCGCAAACGGAACAATAACAACAGGCTGTTTCCTGAGAGGTCAGGTAAGTTCAAACGGTTTTAGAATTAGCGGTTACATAGTTGGACCTTGAAATTTATCGGTGATAATCGTTTGTTTAAAAGTTAAACAAAAACGTTGTAACTGGATAATCTTCCCTCAAATGCCCCGGCCGGTTCGAGTAGTCACACGGTAACTATAGATGTAACTATGATGTAGATAAAGACAATCTAGAATCTGAAATTTTACAAAACGTTTTTCAGTGTGCTGTATCATTTACCAGCTTGAAATATATTTTCTTTTTACCTTAAAATTAACGAATAGTTCAATTGTTCCTGTTGCTTCTTCCCCCGGCCCACCCCAGGGATAAGTACAGTGTTTCAGACCCGGCAGGATATCTTTTACAAGGGTTAAGGTCACGGTGGGGTTGGTCAATGGTGCCAGCGTGACCGAGTGGAAAAATCGTGAAAAAGCTCTTGAGTTTGTGACTGAAAAGTTGGGTTGAAGTAGTTTCCTGTTGTGTATTGAGCCAGCCGTTGACATTGTGAGCGTGCGCACTGATGCGCGCGTCTGTACCATGTGCTTTTGATTCGAATAAACCGAATACATGACAGTGGCGACGAGGATGTAGGAAAAATATTGACAGTATGACTGCTATCGGGAAGATAGAGAATTTGATGAGACACAAGAGAAATGGGAAACTTATGTGGAACGAGTGGAACAGTTTTTCTTAGCAAACAACATCGACGAGGACCGCGAAGTGCCAACCTTGTTAGTCTTGATCGGAAGCAAAACGGGCACATCGTTAAGGGATGTTCTTTCACCGGATAAATTACCCACGAAGAGCTCCCAGGAAATTATCATGACCCCTCGGCAGCACTTATGTCCTAAACCACTGGAAATAGCAGAACGCTGTCGTTTTTATAAATGAAATCAGCAAGAAAGAGGAACCATGTTGGCCTACGCAGCAGACCTGAAGAAACTAGCGACTCATTGCATCTTTGGCGCGAATCTTAACGAAGCTAGCTTTGCGAGATAAATTTGTCTGTGGCCTTCAAAATGTGTAGATACAAACGCGTTTCCTTTCAGAAGGAAAACTGAAATATTTCAAGGCTTTGGAGATAGCCGTAGTAATGAAAACTGTCATTCGTGATGCTTCGTAATTGCAAAGTGAGCTGCACGCAGAACCCCGTGTGGACAAGATATCAGATAACAGAAAGCCACCGTTACCGCTATCGCCGCCGCTGAACCCCACACCTAAAGTTTGTTATCGATGCGGAGGAGACTCGCAAGCCACTCACAGTTGCAGATTCAAGGTCCAGACATGTTATCATTGTAAAAAAAGTGGGCTATAATTCAAGAGTTTGTCGCTCGAAACAACAGAGTAAGCCAAAGCAACCACCCAAAACACCGCTGAACACTCAAGTCCACACTGTTAAAGTACAGTGAAAGCGATGAATTTGAAAATGTGTTGGGAAGCATCAAGATACACAATGAAAGCAAACCAAGCAGTAATGTAATCTTGGTCGATCTGAAAGCAGAAGGGAAACCCCTGAAAATGGAACTGGACACAGGTTCGGCTGGAGAAATTAAACGACAAACCCTCGTATAAAACTGAACTCATGTGGAAAGCCTACACGGGGAAAGGCAAATATCGAGTGCAAAGATAAGCCACCTTTACTGTTGGACCTGTACGTGGTTAATAATAAGGCCCCGGGGATGATGAGAAGGGATTGGCTCCACCAAATCAAGCTCGATTGGTATGCTATTAAATCACTGAAAGCTTCACAAGCCCCACCAATTGCTAGAGAGCGTCTGCCTGACATGGTCAGTGCAGACCATGCTAGACAAATGCTCTGATGTTTTTGATGATAAACTTGGAACATTCAAATCAGCTGAGGCAAAGCAGCTAAAACTCCAATAAGATAGCCAAGCTCATTTCTGCAAAGCTTGTGCTGTGCCTTATGCCTTGAGACCTAAGGTTGAAGAAGAACTGAGAAGACTTCAGAATGAAGGTACTCTCACAAAACTTGGGTGGAGTGATTGGGCAACGCCCACTGAACCTATCCCAAAGAAAGATGGATATGTCAGGATCTGTGGTGATTTCAAAGTTACAGTGAACCCAGAACTACAAGCTGAGCAGTATCCTTTACCCTGCATTGAAGATATTTTTGCAAAGCTTGCTGGTGGCAGAAATTCTCAACTTAATATTTCCCTTCGTCAGGCATACCACCAACTAGAGACGGTAGAAGATTCAAAGAAATGCTTCACTATAAACACACACATGGGCCTGTTTAAGTATAACAGACTGGTGTTCGGCACCACCACCTGCTATCTGGCGGCGCACCATTGATCAACAGCTGGAAGGAACATCTGGCACAAGCTGTATCCTTGACGATATGATCATCGAGATAGATAGATAGATAGATAGATAGATAGATAGATAGATAGATAGATAGATACTTTATTATAAACACCATTGCAGCCATAGGCTGAATTACGGGATATTTACAAATACTGATGATAACAAAGAGAAAATAAGAAAAATTATCTACATCTTATAGACATGGCTAAAAATAAAACTTTTCTTTAAACGCTCGGTTTTACATAGGGGGAGAGTGAAATCACTTTTGCGTCTCAGAGCATATTTACAACTCTTCCTTTGGGGGAGGAGGCTATGGAGACTGTGGGTGGGGTTACTGACGATCTCGTCAAACAGATCGATTGAAATCTTTTCTCTCCTCTCATGAAGTTTGGGTAGGCCAACTGTTTCTAGTGCTACACTATATGACAGGTCAGGATAGATGATTCTGAAAGCCCTTCTTTGGATCCGTTCCAAATCTTCACTGATGTAGTTTGGTAGAGAACGATGGAATACAGGACTTGCGTATTCCAGGACGGGCCTAATACATGTCACATAGAATTGCACCAGTTCACTTGGTGCCACTCCGGATCTCTTGAGTTGACGTAAAAAATCACTGGCAAGGATGATGCAGAACACCTGGATAACTTAGAGGAAGTGCTGCGATGGCTTCAGGTTCATGGGTTGCGAGCAAACAAGGCAAAATGAGAGTTTTCGAGGAGAATATAACCTATTGTGGAAATGCCATTGACAAGGATGGCCTACACAAGTCAGCAAAGAACGTAGAAGCGGTATTGTAAGCGCCACGTCCAAACGACGCAGCTAAAGTGAGATCTTTTCTCGGACAAATCAATTACTACCACAGGTTCCTGTCTAACCTGCCGACAGCAGTAGATCCCCTGACCCAACTTTTGGAGAAGAATCATCAGTGAAAATAGACTGATCAGTACGAGGCAGCATTCCCCAAAGTGAAAGAAATGATCTCTTCAGAGCAAGTTCTAACACATTACGATCCCAGTTTGCCACTATAGCTTGCTTGTGATGCATCCCCTGTAGGCGTTGAAACAGTGCTGTCCCACGTGATGAGCGACGATACCGAGCGACCTGGTCTATAGCCTCCTTTGCTTTAAGGACAATCACTAAAACTGAGCAAAAGTATACACAGATGGACAAAGAAGCCCTGTCAATAATCTGGGGAGTAAAGTAGTTCCATATGTATTTGCTTGGCCGCTTATTCACCTTGTGCACAGATCATCAGCCGTTGACGTCAATCTTTCACCCGCGGGAACGCATTCCTGTGGTCACTCACTGCATCTCGACTGCAAAGTTATGCTTTGTTCCTGGCGGGCTAGGATTACACCATTGAATACAAGAACGCTAAGGTTTACAGTTATGTAATGCCTATGGTCTTTCCCGTACCTTTGCTAGTCACAGTGGAAAACGTTAGGCGAGAAACGCAGAGAGATCCTGTTTTGGCTCAGGTGTATGAAATGTCCAGTAAAGGATGGCTACACAACCTTGATCCTGAACTCAACCCCTATTTTGCCCGCAAAGATGAGATCACATTACAATCAGGCTGTCTGATGTGGAAAATAAGAGTCATAGTTCCTCCGAAGTTGCGCCCCCTAGCCCGAAGTTATATTTAGTGGCCTGGAATCGACAAGGAAATTGAACTGACTGTTAATTCCTGCTCAGGTTGCCAACTAACACAGAAAGTACCCGATACAGTACCAGTACACCCATGGGAGTGGCTTACAAAGTTTTGCAAACAGAAATACTATTTCTGACTTTTTTCCATCCCGCTGATGACCCGGTGGCACATTAACTGATATTATTGTATAAAAAAGGCACCAGAGCAGTGCCCGGCAAACAGAAAGCTTCAGTCATAGAGCTGGTTATAGACGACTGAACGAATAATTCGTAACTCTAATATCAACAAGATTTCTGTGTTCGAATAAGGAAATACTGTTGTCACGGACCCAAAAGGACGTCAAGTTAAACACTTCTACCAAAGAGATGTGACTCTTAGCATTGGATTTGGCCAAAAAGGATTTCTGATGGCTCAAAGAAATCATCATCTTTCATATAAGTACATGTATATGGAATTTGTACTTACGATATACCACTTTTGTAACTGCTGTTTCAGTTCCAACTATTGAGACTATTAAGCCCGTGTTT